AGTGCAATGAAGTAGATAAAGTGTCTTCTTTAAGTACCTGTATACTTTTTTTTTTTAATCATTACAGAAAAGGTAACTTAGGAAGAAAAATTTAAAGTTGTAATGGATAGCGCTTTTTTTAATGTTATCACAGTGGCAGCAGGAAGAGAGAGGTTTAAATGAGTTCCTAAAGCTTATTTTTCTTCTGAGTATCTCACTGAGGAGACTGCACACTGAGATCTGCACTGGGATTACATTCCTGGAGCTATTTAAATACAGTTTATCACGTACAAATAAGTTCCTATAACCCCTTTCCCCTCTGCACACACCCAAGGAAGATATGGCAATTCACAGATTTGTCAGATAACCCCTATTACCGCATCACCCTCGGCAATTTTCTTTCAGGTCATATTTGTGGAATCTCCTTTCAATTAGTTTCAAATGTTATGAAATGACATGTTCATACACAAAATGGAAAAACATGCAAATAAACCTCCTATATCCAGTACCGCATCTGAAGAAGATAAGCATGCTGGAAGGTAAGTCATTGTTAATATACAGCAAAGGGTATTTAATTAAAACCAAGAACAGCTCAGCAATGTTTATACTCAGAAGGTGCAGTAACACACCCAATCTTTCCATTACACAGCATGAGGTCGAGAACCCTATGCCTCTGCCTTCCCTACTTCCCATCTTTTGTCCACTCTGTTTCCATGTGCGCAAGACTGCTATTCACAGTAAGGTAAAGTAACAGGTTTTCCCTGTCAGCAATGGCCTTCCCTTTAATACTTTACTTATTACATGCCTGCTTGACTAAATTATAAGCAGCCTCAGCCAAGACACATCTTGCTTTCTAGCATCTCAGTTTCAGTTATCATTATCTGCCAGTCCAACGCACTAATTTACATATTCTTTCAGCTCCAAAATATTGGTTGTGCAGCCAAAACCACAAGTAATACTACAACTACTGTGCTTATTTCAGAGCATGTGGATTTTTCCTTTTTGTTTTTTTTTTTTTTTTTTTTAAAACTAGGAGATGGACCACCCTGCTCTCATGGCACAGAACACTATTTACATTGCAATACTTGACTGTGTAATACATCTGGCATTTTTGGGCAGGATTCCTGAGCTAGGGGCCAGAAGCCCTTAAGCAATGATTTAAGGGGGGAAAAAAAAAAATCATACAACTTGACTTAACAGTGCTCATTTCTAGTTTGTGGCACTTAGCTTTTGGTTAACTGACTGAAAAGCAGAAATGCATCAGACTGGTAAACAAAAGAAGGCTGTTTCTTTTAATTTATCTTACTGTTAGTAAATGAAGACTGTATTAGAGTTTAAGGGCTCAGTTCCAGCTTCAGGTATGTGGGTGTACAACACTGCACATGTGCCTTAAAAATATCAGCTTTTTCTTGCACATGAGCAAAATACAGATGTTTCAAATATACAATGATTACTTGTATATTTGAAGCTGGAATTAAGTTCAGTACAACTCTCTAAAGGAGCAGCACCTTTGCAGAAAGTCAGGTTACGGTTCTGCTCATTCCCTTACCTCTTATATATTTTGCTCAAGGACTGAAATAACTAAGTTTTCCAAAACCAAGCAAAGTTAAAGCCAAGACATTCATTCTAAAAACCAAAATTAAAATTCTCCATACATCAAAACGTCTGTATGGTCAGCAGTTTCCATAAAGGGCTTTTTACCTCAAGAAATTACTACTTCTGCCAAATTCGGGATGTTTATAGCAACTGAGGTGATACTGAATGAAAATAACAGAGAAAAAACAATGGTGAGTAAATTGTATTTACTGATATTAAACTAAGTTACACAGCAAAAAAGGAATTGAGAAAAACATATTTTAAGTTCTGAATTCAAAGTTACTCCTTGCAATACCACTCCATCTGCTTCCAGTGCAACATATAATGAAAAATTATTCCGAGTCAAAGCCACTCAATTAACAGCAGGGATGAACGTAGCTTATTGTATCCTGTATTCACTGGTCATATTTAGCACACTGTAAGTGGATAGTAAAATAGCACAGACCATGCAAAACAAGAGCAAAACATTTTCCTGTTCTTGATTCATGAGATTAAGATAGCATGCATTTTCAGTGCAGAAATCATACTTCAAAGCACCAAGTTTTCTGTCATGAGGCACCATCTCAGGAATCCATTGCCCCAGTAAAGCATCAACAGTAGGAAACCATACAGCTTCTATAAGTAATAATTAAAGTTGTGTTTCTTTACCTCCCTTAACTCTGACATGGGACTACACTTCTTATTGTAGAACTGTCACTCAGCCCTTAAGGAATGTTACTGATTGCTTCAGGTTTTCCCAGGCAGAGTAACTCACGAACACAAATGGGGAAAGACCTCCTGCATAATATAAGGCAGGAGAGATTAGAGAAATGAAAAGAGCCAAAGGCATACTGAAGATAAGTTAAGGATGATTGAGAAAATGTATGTACTGTAGACTGTACAGGAGACACAAAGAAGAATTAACTTCTTGGTAAAATTCTACACT